TTAAAAATAAGCTTCGATTATACTTCTTTTGGCTTAACTAAACACAATCTAAATTACTCCCTTACACGGAAATTGATCGTTTATTCACACCTAATGAAAGGAAATTGATGTCTAAAATGGGTAGTCCTGGTTCAATATGGCATATTCTCGCACACTAAGCTGTAGCGGGGGCTTATGCAAATTAATAAAATAATTATTCGAATATTATAGCAAAATATTTCAAAAGTGAGAACCAAATTTTACTTCAATATTTTTATTTAGAAAATGCTACTTAAATTTTGTAGTAAACTTGAAAAAGGAAAAAGAAGAAAAAGGAAAATCCAGAAAGGTCGAAACATTTATGGTGAACCACGGCCTATGGGCACCGTAAACATGTCAAATCTCGACTGACCAACTTCTTTACACTGTCATATATATAGAAATTATTTATGTTGTGAACCTAGTAATTAAAAAAAAAAAAAATCTCGAAAAAGGGGAACAAAAAGAAGAATCACAAAATATCACAACCTCAGCTCACAATCCTATGGCAGAAGTCAGTCAAAACTAGCGTGGAATCCTAACTAGCAAAAACCTTTTAAGTGCATGTGCATTAAACTCGACATTAGTGAGCACAAGAGGCAGTTGTGACAAAATTTGTGAGTATTCAACATGACACTATTACTCATGGACTAGGTTGATAAACATCTAAAAAAACTGTTGAGTACTAAACACTAGAAGCATATATAAATTAACATGTGCGAAATGTTCTGAAAATCTAACTCTCCCAATTAAGGGAGCCCTTTATTACCAATATGTTATTCTGTCTCGGGTGAGTAGGAGAAGGTCGAGCAACAACCATGTTTGGATTGTCTATTATATCTAATGAACCTTCGATATAATGAGAGACGGGTGCCATTTATCGAAAAGTATTTAAGATTTACTATAATAATAATATTAGAATTGTGAAAAAGAAATTGAAACACTTGGTTATGTTCTAGAATTGGGTGAACAGTAAATGCGTGTTCATTATAGTTTAGATAGGGACAAAATGATTTAGTTCGGATAGTTCAGACTGGAATCAATTAAGTGACAAGTACTAGAAGAACCATGTGGCCCTTGACCTGTTTCTTTGTCTGAACTATTCATCAACAAAGGATAAGTCCATTGCACAACTCTACTTGATTTTTCACATTTCATCATTTGTCTGAAATATTTGAACTAAAATATTTTCTAATTTACGTGATACAGTGTCCCCTGTTTCTTTGTTTTTCTTCACAATTTATATTTTTTCTTTTTTGGTAAAATGTACATCGAAATGCATTACTTATACTTATTCAGTAGGGAGGTCACAGTGCTTGAAGCCATTAAAGAAAGCCTTGATTTAATGAAAACCATCACTGTATTGAAGGGTGTAATGTATCAATACCAAATTTGGTGTAGCCTATAGATATTCTAAAGTCTTATATGAACCCTCATGTGACAAGATGCTTATTAGTTAACATTAAACACATACAAACAATAAAGGCACGGCTTGTTTTGCAATGTCTTGAAAATGATTATCATTTTATGTTCATTATCACTGCCACTCTACAAAACGTACATGAGATTTTCAACTCATATGACTCCTCGTTCAATTCTTTCGAACTCATTGGATCTTTTTTCGCTTTCGAGAATCCCCTCCCTTCTTCCATTCTGTCCCAAAGAGTAACTATGAGTGTCCCGAGTAATTCAAAATTAATGTTGTAAATTGTTACTTGAAAATAATGGATTTCAAATTGTGAAGCAAACCAACAAAAACCATTTGCTTGCTTTTTGATTGTCCATTGTTGTAACAAACAACACTTGTTTTCTCTCTTATCGTTCGATCCCTGTGGTCAATTTTGGCGATGTTAACATTGTGGATATCTAAAGTACTCTTGGTATGTATTCCAAATTCTTTTCTTTCTCATATGAGAAAATTATATCCTATGTCTGGGTGACAAAAAAGGATTTGCTTTTGATTTGAAGTATAGAATTCTCCGGATATATTATTTATTTGGTAATATCTATTTCTGTTAAATGTCATATCACCATTATACATGATTTATATGATACAATATCCCTTTTTTTCTGTTGTGCTTCTCAATCTATGCTTCACTTGGTATCGTTTACATCGACGTTCTCTACTTACCCAGATATATTAGATAATCAAGAAAAGGGTGATTAAAGATTCATGGTTACATCTGTTTATTTATTTATTCGATTGCTTCGTCATTGGCCATTGTTGAAAGGAACACAATTTTGACTATGTTGTTATATAAAGCATTCTTGATCAGGGGCGAATCCAGTATCAACCTTCAGCTAGGGCAGAGGTTGACTTTAACCTTTGACCGTTGACAATCAACGATCGTTAAAGCCCTATTCGATTGGCGGCCGACCGTTTATTAGAATTTGATTAAATAATATTAAAAATTATTCAAACTTTCCGCCATTTATTAAAAGCCCCAACTTTCGTTATCGTCTTATCAAACCCATTTCTCCCATTACTTATTTACTTTCTAGTTTCCACCATTTATTAAAAGCCATAAACACTTTATAAAAACTTAAATCACAATAAAACCAATACATAAAAACTTAAATCAAAACTCAAAAGGACGAGACTATTTAAATATAAAACTTAAACTACTGCAAATCTCCAAACCGCACAATTAAAAACATCACAATAAAACCAATTTCAACAAAATTCCCAAACAGTAAGTTGTAAGCCTAAATTGAAGCAATTCAAAAATCAAGACCCTAAAAATTTACCAATGCGCAGGCCGCACAGAGAGAGAGAGAGAGAGAGAGAATAACCAATTATTAAAAAAAAAAAAAACATAAACAATAAACATGCCCCAATTTAATGTTATACTTGAAAATTGAAATTGAAATCATATCACAAATTCACAATTCGTTTTTCACAATTCGTACCAGTTGGCCACACTCACACACGTCGGGAAGGAATCGGATTCGGGGGAAGAAGTAGAACTCAAGAAGGGTTTGGCTGAAGGAAATCAAGAATTGGATTTGGGGGAAGGGGAAACTGAATCTGAAATTGATTGCAGCTGCGGGGTACTGGGCTGTGCGGATGGACTGCTGGAGAGATAGGAGAGTGGATTGGACTGTGAAATTAATGGACCTTTGCCTATAGTAAACAGGTATGTTATCTAGTTTTTTAACCATTTGGGCTAGCATAATTTAAAAAAAAAAAAAAAAAAGCCCAACACCAACAATTAAACAGAATTCGCCATCACAGTGAGTCGGCAGTCGGAGTAGCAGGTGGGCATGGGCGAAGTCTGTAAATCATCGACTGCCATCACAGCCAGTGCGGCGCCCGGTGGACGTTCCGACGAATCCAGCTAGGACGACCATCCTAGCTGACCAGTGGCTGAATCCGCCACTGCTCTTGATATTTAGTCACATTTCTTCCTTTCCCATATGAGAAAATTATATTCAATGTTCTGGCGATAAAAAAAGATTTTCTTTTTTGATTTGATGTCTGTTTCCATTAAATCTAATATCATCATTTTATGTGATTTACAATATACAATATCCTCTAGTTTTTGTTGTGTTTCACAATCTATGCTTTACTTGGTATCATGTACATCAATAGGCACTACTTACATATAACTATTTGGCAATCAATGATTTGTGAGACTAGATCATTCCAATGATACAGCTTGGTGGATATGAGTCTAGAAATTCTTTGGGATTCTAAAAAAAGAGAAGCACTTGCATGAGTCATGCGTACATTGTGCATTTGTTGTGCGTTCTTTGTTCCAAAGGAAAAAAAAGTTATCGAGAGTGTATAAGTATTAAAAATTTATTGTTCTACAAATTTCGAATGATGCGCGACTTTATGAGTGACAAAACTATTTAAAAAGGATTTGGTCAATTTCTGTCCGTCGAAGCTATAATGAAACCGCATTTATACAAATGTGTCTCATTCAAAATTTTATGAGACACATTTTTGGGAGTGTTACGTGACTATTTAAACATGATTTGGTTTGCTTCTATCATTGACAGCACAACTATAATGAACATGCATTCATTATCCACCCAATGCATGAGGCCCATGTTCTTATAAATTGACTTTTGTTACGCCCAGTATTCAAAAATATCAAATAAAATTCATTTTTTATGAGTTTACAATACTACTAAAAAAATAAAAAATAAAATAAAAAAATTAGGTTTGTTTTCATAACTGTACTGGCATTTTTACAATTGTTACAACTGTTACATGACTATTTAAAAAGGATTTGGCCAGATTTTCGTCAGTGTGCAACTATAAAGGCCAATTTGCCTCACCCTCTACTCAAAAGACCTACAACATTACTTGAGTGAAATGATAACTATGTACTCCTTAATTAATACTCTTCATATCCCACCAAGCTTCTTTCATTTACTCCAACCAACGGCGTACCCAAGATCGAAGTCCAGCTAGGGCGGGTTGACTGTTGACTTTTGACCTTCAACGATCGGACTAGGACCGGTTGACTGTCGACGATTGTAATAGTACGATCATTTAATAAAATTAGTTATATAATATTAAAAGTTATTCAATATATGTAAATGAACTGAAACGTCAAAATTGTATGCATACGAAAATATACTTCAATACAACCTAAAATAGTAAAAAAAATACGATACAACCTTACTCAGTTACTCTGTAACTGTAAACTTAGACAACTATGTTCTACGGGGTCTCATGATTTGAAAATGTTGCAATATTATCTCATTCTCAAGTTTTTTAAAAATAACTTTCTCCACATAAACCACCAAATTTTCATTCAACCAGTCATCTCCCATTTTGTTGCGCAAATCACTCTTGATTAGATTCATAGCAGAAAATACCCTTTCAACACTTGTAGTTGCCACGGGTAATATCAATGCCAAGGTGAGCAGTCTATAAACCAATGAAAAATAACAGGAACTTCCAGTTTCAACCAACTTCTGAGCTACACAAGATATGCTATTGAGATTAAAGAAAGCTTCGTCCATTCTCACAAGCAAAAAAACTTATCAAGTTGAGGTCTAAGTAATAAAAGCTCTTCACTATTAAAGTCCAAAGGATAGAACTGAGCAAGATGTAGCAATTTATTCTTATCAAAAGCTGCAAATGAATCTCTTGGACTTAAACATGAAATGCAAGTAAAGAGCTCAGTAGTTGTTTCTAGAAAATGATCATTCAACTCTTGCAAGATTGAGTCTATCGCATGACAATACAAATCAACATAAAAGCGATGAAAATAAGTCACCTGCTGAGCTACATGCCTAGGTCGACCTTTCACTACTACAATATCCTCCATATTGGGCACTAAAATATGTCTATCAACACAAAACTCAATCACCCTACTCAACAAAGTATCCCAACCATTCTCTCTCAGGTTCTGCAATGCACATTTACACAAATTCAATAACCTCATTGCATTCTGAATATCCTGATCCCTTTCCTATAAGGCTTGTGAAAGGTTGTCTGCAATTGTAAGAATTTCAAACATAAAGTGGAGACTGAAAACAAACTCAAATTCCTGCATAGCATTCATCTGTCTTACGGCCGAAGATTTTTGATCTAAATGTACGCCATCTTCTAATATATTTTCAAGAACATCTATGATAGCATTAACCATATTAATGAAACGAGTAATTGTCAGTAGATATGAACCCCACCTAGTATCACCTGGGCATTCCAAACTCATTTCTTGAAACTGACCTCTTCCACTAGTAAGTTCCCCAATATTAAGCTTCTCCAGAATATTAGCTTGATAACTTGTTCGAAAAGCATCTACACGCTTACATGATGCACAAACCAAATTCACAATAATAGCAAGTACGTTAAACAAATCACCAAGCATACAATTCCTATGTGTGACAGATACAATTGCCAACTGAAACTGGTGAGCAAAGCAATTAACATACATAGCATGTGGGTTCTCTCTTAAAATTAAAGCTTTCAACCCATTGAACTCACCTAACATATTACTCGCTCCATCATAGCCTTGACCTCTCAGGCTAGATATGCTCAACCCACGAGTAGAAAACATTGCATCAATGTCATCCTTCAGTGATTGGACACAAGTATTAGTGATATAGGACATACCCAAAAAATGCTCCTTCACTTGCCTACTTTTATCAACAAACCTCGAAATAATTGCCATTTGTTCTTTTATAGAATTATCACGAGCCTCATCAACAAAATTGAAAACAAAGAATCACCTATCTCATTGATAATAGCCCTTGTCGTCTCTACGGCACAACAATTAATCAAATCCTTTTGGATGATTGGTGAAGTCATTTGGTCATTTTCAGGAGCATTACTAAATAATACTTCTTTAATTTCTTTACAACGAGCTGCATACCAGTTCAGTAACTCAATTAGATTTCCTCTATTAAGAGACTCTTTCGATTCATCATGACCACGAAATGACAATCCTTGCATCAAGAGAAATCTAGTACAATCTAGCACCGTATTCAACCTGGTCCTATAACTTTGTTGTTGACTACTACTTTGGCTAGACATAACATAGGAGATACTTTGCTTTTGATTCATCAAGTTGGTACACTTTGTAAAAGCTTGATTATGAGCACTATCAAAGAGACCGACATGATCTTTCAATGTATTTTTGTGCTTCCAATCCCTAAAGCCGGTCTTAGTAAATATATGGCCACCCCCTCTATCGGGTTTGAACAAGTAGCAATGCAAACAGTACGCCGCATCCTTTTCTATACTGTATTCCAACCAATGAAATTCGGAGAACCATTCTTTTCGAAAACATCTATTATCATTCCCCATCGGTCTTCTTGAAAAATCATGTCCATATGGTTGACAAGGACCCTTTTCCAAGTATGCCATTCTAACATCATCTCTGATATTAGGATCATACGACTCGATAGGGGACGTGTCCCTGGATCAGATACAAGATCATCCACATTAAATTGAGCTCGGGACTTCTTTGTGTTATTCAATAACTCTTGTGCTCGACTAGAATCAGTGACGGGACTAGATGCACAATTGGAAGTAGAAGAATTGGGTGTGGACTTTCGTTTTGGTTGAAAAAATCGTTCCATAATCTGCAAATGTCCCAATTCATTTTTCAATTACAATTGATTAAAAAAATAACCAAGTACACATGGGTTATAAAACCAACAAAGAATCACATTAATGGACATAAGAACATCGATCTATGAACACCGTTTTGGAACAAAATAAAAGGTAAAATTACTTTTATTCTATTATACAGTTTATTCATTTATGTGAAAGGATCAAACACATCCTTATTGTTTTTCGTCTATCCAATGATCAAAGATGCTATAAAATGTCACCAATGCATGCAAACGAATGAAGTGAAAAGAAAAAAATGTAAATAAATAAATTCAAATTTATGTAGCGAGACAAACTCGTCTGTGTTCATGGAAGACAGAATGAGATCGTCAAATTATTAAATAAATATTACTTCCTACACCTCTTTCTGCAAAAAAAAATTCGGAAAATCGAAACAATTAGTTAAATGACAATTTCTCAAATTATTTTCCTTATTTATTTTATCATTTTTCTTTCCTTTTATTTAAAACTCAAAACAAATGTAAACTATAAAGCAATTAATTTCAGTCAAATTACCGACGAGTAAAATGTTGGACACAACTTGAAATTCAAGATGGTGGTATACTGGTATTACAAGTTTACAACTACCACGTGGGTTAATTAGGCAGTTGAGTACAGTAACAAAATCCAAGCCAAATCAAAATAGAACAAAACCAAAAAAAAGAACAAAAAAAATAAAGAGGGAAACCCGGAAAGAAAAAGAGTTACCACTTACCAGTAGGTAGACTCGGTAGGTGGTAGTAGGCGCTTCGGGTCTTCGAGTTCGGCAGTTCTGGTCTGCAGCGAGCCAGCATCCAGCGACTGCCTATCTACGGATTGCGGTGTTGCCGGTGTGGACTCTGGATTGGAGAAAGAAGAAGCAAGGTTGAATCAAGGAAAGAGTTTGGTATTTGGGGAAAAATCACAAATCACAAGATTCATAACCCAGCCGGCAGCCACCACGATGTCACGAACGATTCAAATGAGATGGCAAATGGGTATTAATATGGATAATGGGTTTGGATAAATTAATTTGACATTTGGGCTAAATAATAAGAGACCCAACATTTTGTGCAAAATCCCAGACCAAAAAAAAAAAAAAAAAAAAAAAAAAAAACTAAACGGATTTCCTTCTTCCTTCTTCTTCTCCAGGCGACTCGGCGACCACACTAGTGACACTGCCCGGTGGCTCTGTAGATCCCGAAAGAGCCAGCAGGCACGGTCGCGCCCCCTCGTCGGGTGCTGGCTCCACGCCTGACTCCAGCAAACAACTTTTAGTGCTCTATCTCTGCCCTTTTCACTTACTCTCTAAATGTGTTGTCATCTTTATTCTACCCATTTCTGGCATAAATTCAAACTATTTTTCAAGGGCTCACACGGTCTTAGTTACTGACTGAACTAAAATATTTCAATTTGTAAAATAGAGAAATACAATATAAAAATACTAGAAAATCAATGTGAAGTTGCATATACATAGTTGGCATCATCAAGGGTGATGATGGAAACTACACCGTGACCCAATTGAGATCTGATGAGTACCTAATTGCGTTCTTTACCTGTTGGGAATTTACTACATGCATAGCGAAATTTAAAATAATTTTATTACCCATCGAGGATCTTTTTTGTAATAAATTCTGCAAACTTTTTCGGCAATCTTGGAACACGAACAATCATGATATCCGCACACCACAACTGTCCAATTGTCCAACTTTCAATAGTTTACTATCCATACAAGGGAACAACAATGAGAGATTGTGATTGTTCTTTTGTTCTGCTAGCAAGATTGTGAATGTATGTTGTGATTTCTCGAATTTTAACAACTTATTAATAGAAGTTTAAGGGGTTTGACCCACATTAAATATGTCGGCCCATTATTTAATTAATCTAATTAATTAAATTTGTTCCATAATTTAATCGATTAATCAGTTCACTTAGGCCCATTTATAAGTATCCCAATTAATTAACTTTATAAATGTCCAACACTTGTCTATTAATTAGTAATATCATTCTTCTAGTTCTTCTTTTTGTGTGCAATTTATTAGGTTCCTAATCATGATATCTAACAATGTGAACTATTATTTTGACCTAATCAAAATAAGATAAATTAAATACCTTTTAAGTTATCATTAATTCACCTGAATTAATTAATTCACATTTGTTCTTCCAGATTAAATTTGACAATGTGTCTGGCAATATAAGTGACAAAAAGTAAGAAATTGTATGATAAATCAAATTTGTTCGTTTACCATAAAACTATAATCCGTTCATCAATATAATCCAATCAATTACGATATATGAATTTGTGTCAATCTAGATTATTGATCGTATCTTTCATCCCACTATTAAATCGACATTAGTTGCAAACTCTTTTCAACTTTTGAATACCTTGGCTAAGAATTTCATTATCAATTTAAATGAATGAAACATAGTTATCCATAAGGAATCTCTCCAACGAGTCTTCAAAGTTTTGCTCTATTAACAAAACATTCACGGGTCTATTTAAACGTCACTACATTTTAACTTATGAGATCAGTTACTCACTACATAAGTGAAAAATACCACACGTACTAATCCATTCGTAATAACCGTATCTCGTTATTGCTTATGATAATAAATAATTTAAGATTAATTAGTCATATGTAATTTCTTTCTCACTATCACAATGCTTTATGATTAATAAATTACTAAGACTTGTACCCACGAACTCTATTAGTATAATTTATTAGATTAGTAATTTAATTAAATAATAGATCTGCTATAAATGAAATGCATTAATCATATTAAAAGTGTCTACAACCTAAATTGTTTGGATATAGGGCATAACACTAATTTTACCAACCCCCACACTATGAATGTCGTTCTTTCAAGTCTATGAGCATGGAGGAATGTCCTAAGAATATTTACTCTGATTTGGAGTGTTTTGATTAGGAGAATAATGGTTTTCATGTTGGTTCTAGAAGGGGCTTCAAGATGAGGAGTGCTTGTGGACTTCACAAATAACAAAAAACCAAATATATGAGCCTAAATATGAAGATGTCATTCTTTAGTTTTGCAGCTTTAGTAAGAGGAAGTTTTTAGTAAAGACTTTCTAGACTAGATCCATCTGGTGATGCTATTTGGATGATGAGTATATCCATTCTCATCGATTCTGGTCTGATTTTCATAAAATTGAAAAAATATAAGAAAAGAAACGAAAATCTTGAAGCATGAATGGGTCATGCTTACTAATGAGATAGATATTTGAATTAAATATGGCAGAAAACACAAATCACTGGAACAAGAAAAATTGTCTGGAAGTTTTGTAATTATCTGTTGACCTTTTACAAAGGAAAAAACAACTTAATAAGTGAAGAAATAGAGTGGTTGTTTTACCAAAAAGGGAATGCATTGGAATGAAAGAAAGTAGCTGTGTTATTAGTCCTACAGCTGTTATGTTTAGTCTGTATTCACCTCTGGTTTTCTGAATCTAATTTTAATAGATATGTAGATATCTCTCCTTGTATATTTAAAGTGGAGAACACGAGGAAATAAAACTTAATCTTTATTGGTTCATTGTGTTGGCAACCAATCCTTCTCTTTTCTTTTTTGTTATGGTATCAGAGCAATAGTCTTAAATCTCTACTGATCCTGATTTTCCATCCACTCAACCAACACACACTAACTCCCATCATAACTGATTCATGTGATGAAACTATAAATCCAACCAAACCACTCAACTCTAAGGAAGATCCAGCTTCCAACCCACTCTTTCTTTACCATGGAGAAAGTCCTGGACTGATATTGGTCTCACAACCTCTTACCTATCAGAACTATCATGCTTGGAGTAGAGCCATGTATGTAGCCTTGTCAGCCCAAAGCAAACTTGGTTTTGTGGATGGCATGGTTAAGTAGCCAGCTGAAACAAGCTCTGAATACTCCCAATGCAAGTATACAATCACAAACAGTCTATCACCTGAAATAGCTAGATATGTGATGTACTCAGATTCTGCAACACAAGTATGGACAGAATTGAAGAAGCGATTCGCTAAGTCAAGCAACAATCGCATCTTCTTACTGGGGCAACAACTGATAGCCACA